AAGGCCGATGGCCTTCAGGCCAACTATGGGAAGGCCAATGGCATTCAGGCCATCTATGGGAAGGCCGACTACAGTGTGCGGGGTAGGCCAATAAGCCCGGGAGCTGAGCATCTCTCCCTTCGCCTTTCCCATGGGTCTGTCTGCTGAGCAAGCTCTAATTAAAGTTGGAAAGTCCCCAGTAACACAGCATGAGCAAAGGAGGCCTGTGGCTCAAAAGGGTAGGGCACCAGTCTCATATGCCAGAGGTGGCGGGTTCAAACCTAGCCCAGGCCAAAAATAAAAAGAGAAGGTGCATAAAATTCAATTTTCTTTACTTTACCTTGGAACTGATCCTAAAAACCATAAATGCTCTTAGTTAAAAAAACAAGCACAGATTTCATAGGACCAAATGCACAGTTACTTTAGTACCTTGTGGGATAGTCGAGTAGCGTTTCTCTACAAGTGAAGACCCTCACCTTTCTGAGACATGTCTGTAGTACACTAAGAGGACATTGGACGTATGCTTACAATGACCTTTTTTTCTTCTTTTTTAAAAACTTCAGATTACTATAGAAGTACAAACAATTAGGTTATATTGCTTACATTTGTTAGGTAGAATCCAAGCCAGAGTTGAGCCTTTCACCCAGGAGCTGCGCCATTTCCCCCTTACATTGTGCTATTAGATGAGAACTTACCACACCCCTTCCTGCCCCCCACTTTGATGTAGTTGGGTTATTCTTTCATATAGGGGTATAGTTGTTTATCTGCTTGTTTCATATTAGTATTGAACACATTGATATTTGATGAAAAAGTCTTTTTCTGTCTTCAGGACCTTCAAACAGCCCCGTCCAACCCACTGGACCAAGCACACCCAGAACCTGTGACCCCAGGCTGACATTTGATGCCATCACCACACTCCGTGGAGAAATACTTTTCTTTAAAGACAAGTATAAAATTATTCGATTCCTTCCTTTGATTTCTCTCACTGGCAGACTAGATTCCAATTAGTCACATGCTATTGACCTTTTCCTTTGAATGCTGCACATAGGCATCTCATTGGAACTTTTAGTGTTTTCTGAATAACTCAAAACACTCAGGAAAAGAAAACAAGCCTAAAACACACATCTTGAAATGTTGTTGGTGATATAAAAAGACAGAGGCTGTAGTTGTGATTCATCTCTCATATGAAAGTGTAAGTGATTATAAATTGGTTTCATAGTAGTACTGAGTACATTGGATTTTTTTTCCATTCCTGAGACACTTTCCTAAGAAAAATATTTTCCAGTTCCATCCATGTAAATATAAAAAAGGTAAAGTCTCCATCTTTTTTAATGCTGCATAGTATTCCATGGTATACATGGTGGGGGGATGGGAAGAGAGGAGGGTGGTTCAATAGAGGGAGGGTTAATGGTGGGACCTCATCTATGAAGCATATTGCAAGGGTACAAGTCAAATCTATCAAGTATTGAACACAAATGTCTAACACTGTGATTAAATAAATGAGGTGAACGCTATGTTAATTAGTAGGATGTAAGCACTCCAATTTGTATAAATAATCAACACATTGAATCCCACAAAGGTGTAAATGTATTCATTATCTATGTATATGTGACTTAATTAAAAAATAAATAAATGAATAAAAAGACAGAGACTATAGCTGCTTGGGAACTTCATAGGTGAGTTTACCTGACAGCAAAGCACCATTCAATTCTACCCCAAATCAGCCAACTAAATGGAAATTCCCACATAACCAGCTGTGTGGCCATCATCTCACTAACTGAAATTTTTGTTTTTCCGTCAGCTATTTTATGATTGCACAATCACAAAAGTGTACTGCTGTTGCTTTTGTTGATGGCTATATATTCTCAGTGGGAGCAATAATGAAACAGTGTGTGAGGTAGGGAGGGACAATGCCAGAGGGAATCTAATGAGATCCCTCCTGCGACCTCTGAAAACCACAAAGTGCTTACCAGATGGGCAGTGTCACCACAAAACTTCGCCCTGTGCTAGTCACTGTGCTAGAACCTTTGCATTCATCATATTGCTACATCCTCCCAGCAATCTTAGAAAGGCCATCGCAGCCGAGAATCACAGAGACTGCCACACACTACTTAGACTTGTGTGTGTGTGTATGTGTGTGTCCTCTGTCCATTAGATACTTCTGGAGAAAGCATCCTCAGCTGCCAACAGCCGAGCTCAACTTTATTTCTCTGTTCTGGCCGTCCCTGCCAAATGGCATACAGGCTGCTTACGAGGATTTTGAAAGAGATCTGGTCTTCCTCTTTAAAGGTAACTTCCTAAAGGTTTTATCTTTTTTCAGTGTGCCTAAAGCGAGGATGCAGAATTTCTCTGTGGTCATGTCCAGGTTCAGAAGTGGCCTGGGAGAGCTGATGAGAGCATCATGCCTGCCAGGCTTCTGCCAGCAGACGGGGGTTGGGCCATCTTGGCCACTGACTATTGCATGAAATTGGACAGGTTGTCCTCTGTCTAGGACTTGGTTTTCTCAGCAACAAATGAGAAGACCACATTAGATGATCTTGAGTCCTCATCTCAGATATAATTTTCTAAGATTTATCAAGGCTATAATTTAGTTTGCATATCGAAGTCGCATGAGCTAAGGAATCACATTATGGGGCCCTGAATGTGATCAGGCTAATAAGTTGGAATTTTTTTATAGATCTTGGGGAATGATTAATAACATCATAGCCCCCTGAACTTACCTTGATCACATTCATCTTTTAAAGACTATTTGTCCCATGATAAGTTTATGAAAAGATCAAAAAGTGGCATGTAATATTTTATAAGAATGGAAAAACCTGATTTAACATATGACTTGAATCACTGACAGGCAACCAGTACTGGGCTCTGAATGGCTATGAGATTCAGCAGGGTTATCCCAGGGATATCTCAAACTACGGCTTCCCAAGCACTGTCCAAGCGGTTGATGCAGCTGTTTTCTACAGAAGAAAAACATACTTCTTTGTAAATGACCAGTTCTGGAGGTAAGGTAAACTATTTTTTTCTCTACCCTGTCTACAAACTGCTAACAATCAAGCATCTGAAGGTTTTTTAAATCTAAGTGAGCTTTGACAGGTTTTAGTGAGAATGTATTATGCATCACGAGATGATTGATATTACCATGACTTTTGAAAATTTCACTTTTATTAAATTATAATGCTGGCACAATACTATCCAGGATCCTGTGTCATGAAACAGAGCAAACCTTAATAAAGCACAAGAGTGAGATGCAGAGAAAAAATTAAGCTGATTCTCATGTATGAATTAAATTCTGACACACTCAGGCAAATGCTATCCAGATAGCCTGCAGCATCTGTACCCAAGTTAAAGGTATTACTGACATTTATATACACACGCAGTGATACGCTATGTGCCAATTAAGTAAAAGCCTTACAAAATAAAAGCTCTTCTTTGGGGAAATAATAGTGTGTCAGAAGCCTGTTTTAGAATTAAGGATCCCCAAAAATAAGTATATCCCCTTAGGTAGAGAAGTTAATCATTCTTAATCCTAGGACACTGTGGGAAATGAATGAGGAAATGTATGTGAAGAAACTTTGTAAAGTGGATATATACTGTTAACAGCAAACTGATAGATTCTGTATCGGTCTTAAATCAGGTGATGTTTTGTTTTATCAGATATGACAACCAAAGACAATTCATGGAACCAGGTTATCCCAAAAGCATATCAACTGCCTTTCCAGGAATAGAAAGTAGAGTTGATGCCGTTTTCCACAGGGATTGTAAGTAGGAGAAAAATCCTAATAAATGTGTCCGTATTTTTAAAATAGCATGTTTGCATTTGAATGTTATATTGGAACAGGGTTTTGTTTTTGTTTTTGTTTTTGCAGTTTTTGACTGGGGCTGGGTTTGAACCCGCCACCTCCAGCATATGGGGCTGGCGCCCTACTCCTTTGAGCTAAAGGCACCACCCAGGAACAGGGTATTTTTTTAATTAAAGACATCTGAGGTCTTCTATAAACTAATGCAATAAATGATTTCTTTTTTTTATAGACGTCTTCGTTTTCTTCAGTGGACCAAGATACTACGCATTTGATCTTAATACTCGTAGAGTTATTAGGATTGACAGAAGCAATAAATGGCTTAACTGTAGATAAAGTTGAAGCAAAATTGAATGTGCTTTCATCCATTTTCAGAACACAGAAGTTCAGTTTGCCTACACATTACGTTGTGTCCTGTTTACACTTTTCTCAACACTGTACTTTTGCCATAACTGTATTCATTGGGCCTGTCCTCAGTAAAAAACGTGTTTGCACTATTCCACTGTCTGAAGAGTTGATTCAGTTCTTACACACTCCTCTTGTGTTAATGAATCCATCACAAAGAGAAGGAAAGTGAACTTTTTTGTCCCCTCAATATTCACTATTTCGTTACTTATATGACTTCTAAAATTCACAGTATCATGACTTGCTTATCTGACTGCATATATTCCTATTTAAACATGTTTTGAATCTGCTGCGTGCAGTTTAGCAGTGGAGTTTGGTTAGCGGTAAGCACTATAAACAATATGGGCAGCACCCCTTGACTTTACAAAATAAATGTAGTGCTGTTTTCCACTCTTGGAAAGAAATGTGGATGTTACATGTTGTAGATTGAGTTGCATCCCCCTAATTAATGTGTCCAAGTCCTAACCTCCTGGTTAATGTGAGCTTATTGGACCCAGGGTTTGCAGAGGTAATTAGTTACAATGAGGTCATTCTGAATCTGGTGGGCCCTAAGTCCCACATGGCCGGTGTCTTATGAGAAGAGGAGAGACAGAGTCACCCAGGGAGGAGCCATGTGGAGACAGGGGCAGAGATCGGAGAGTGCATCTAAAAGTCATAGGATGCCAGGGCTTCCAGCAACTGTGCCAAGCTGGGAAGAGGCAAAAAAGGATCCTCCCTTACAGCCTTCCTGAAGAACAGGATCCCACTGACAACTGCAAATGTGCATTTCTAGCCTCCAGAACTGTGAGGGAATAAATTTCTTTTGTTTAAAGGCACAGGTTTGGGGCACTTCATTACAGCAGCCCTGGACACACTGGACTGAACCTGGTAGGTATCCATTAAGAAAATAAGTCGACACAAAATGCCGCGGTTTAACCCCCACTAAGTATTATTGGGCCTCTTCCCTGGGAGCCCCAAAAAGGAGAGGCGCCACTTCCTTGCTGCCTCCTCCCTGCTCTCCTCCCAAGTCCAGACAAACAGGGTGGTGGGATCTGTCGTTCCTTAGTACTTATTTCCCAGAGGGCTCACTCTCCATGTAGCTAGGGTTTACTGCACAAAATTCAATGAGCTCATGAAATCACATTAAACTAAGCTTAGATGCCTGCACAGCCTACTGGATCTTTTCTATTAAGAACTTTAGGATTAGGGACTATAATATCTAGTCAAAACATCAAAGTCATTATAATGTCTTATTTGCTGTTGTCAGAATGTAATACAGCTTATCACACAACAACTATAAGGATTATAAAATACATTTCTCCCTGGCACATCCTATTTTCTTTCTCTGTTAAAGCTTTTAAATCCCACAGATAATTAATTTGCCATCTTATTCTGGTTTAAAATTGCTTACTTAATGAGTTCAAATGAAAGATTTCTATTTAAATGACTGATTTGCGATTTACTTATAATTTCTGAAAATGTCATGACATAGTTCAACTAAAAAAACCCAGAAAACTTTAGATATGTTTTCAGCTATTTATTCCCTTGTTTAAATTATTATCTCAACAATAAACTTTCAGATACTACTTCAAAGTTTATGAAATATTTTATAAATATTTGATGTCCTCAAAAAATTCTCTCAAAGATGTCAGCACGTTATGCTCAATTATTTTACAAGATGAGAAAAAGAAATTAGTACACACGCTCATTCCATTCACTAATTCAGCATGAATTAATCATTTGTATGTCCCTGGTGCAGGCCAGGGAAAGTTCAAGTGATGTACAAACAACTCATCGCAACAATGTAGCGAGTGCAAAAGGACCTATGACAATTATCTATTCCATTTTTTTGTTATTATTATTTTTTTTTTATTGAATGGTAACTATGTACATTAATGCACTTCTAGGGTACAGTGTGGGGTTTTCACATGCAATCCAAACTACTTCCATCAAACAGGTCAACAGAGCCTTATGTCATTTTCTCAGTTATTGTTTTAAAATGTTCACATTCTACTCTTAGAAAGATTCACTTGTACCTCTGTAAGATAAACTTCAGATATCTATTCCATGTTTAACAGTACAGTCAATGTCAGACAACTGTGTTTTCTAAAACTTCCTAAGATATCAGTTTTTACAGGCATAAAAATGAGAGATTCATCTTCCCAGGACATCTGCTGGTTGTGCTAGCCAGCTTTAATAGAGTCTTGGCCCAAGCCTCGTGCATACATTTTTGAGATGAGAACTGAATTCGTGTTAGGTCTTTGACCATTTTTCACAGAGTCATAGGAATCAAGCTGCAATGTGAAATGTAATAAAGAATTTGAAGACTTATTCCTTTTTTTACAAAAAGTTCTCATCTTGACAACATGTGGTATTTACTGGCCGTTACGTTGTACATTTTATGTGAGTATCAGAGATGTAAGGGTCTAAGCCTGGAATTTTAATAATGAGATTCCTTTAGATCCTAGGCTGAGTTTCTTCAAAAACAAAATCTAAGTCAAGATCTCAGCAATTATGTTTTTCCAAAAATTGTCCCAGAAAGTAGGAGTGAGGTAGCAAGCAGAATAAGACAGAGGAAAAGCCAATAGAAGTGTGTGTCAGAAAGGTTTCTGCTATGGGAAACTGGGCTTCAGTTCCACCCTGGGCTCCTGAGCAGCCTAGAGAACACCTTCCAATGGCTCAGCTGGCCAGTGAATGGGGCTGGACACTCATCTTTCAGTTCTCATCCCCTGGAGTAGGGATTGACCTGAGGGTGTTCTCTCCCTTCCACTTCTCGGCTGTTCTCTCAGGCTGCCCCGGCAGGCCCTCGGGCATCTCAGTGTTCAGGAGAAAGCAGAAAGACATGCAGCATGTGCTCAACACTGGACTTTGTCAGAGCAGTTGAGATACACAGACCTGTCCCACTGCTGCCACTAACCAGAGGCACCAAGGGGCTGGGATACAGGGATCCCAGGGATACAGGGACTCAGAGGCATCTGCTACGGCTGTGCTGCTGGGAGATACAACTGATGAGAAATCGGAGAAGTCTTCTGGAGGAACTTACAAGCCCTAGGAAAAAAGTATATAGATACTGACACTGGAGAAAGCGCAGCATGGCCGAGGCTGCTAATTACCTACCGCAACAGCCATTCTCGACCTCCTCTTTTGCAGTGAGACCCTGATTTGATTTGAGGTAGCAAATGCATCCAGCTGAAAGACTACACTCCATTACCTTGGTTGCAGTAAGGTGTGGCCACGTATTTAATTTCTAGCCAAAACGTGTAAGCAGAATGTTGTATGGGCTTCTAGAAAAAAACCCAAGGAATTTGCTTTGTCTCTGGATCATGATGCATTGCACTAGGACAGTGGTGTAGCAAGATGGCTACCCCCTTGATGATGTAAAGTTGTCGTGCAATCCCTGGGCTTTCAAACCTGTGCTTTTCTTATGTGAGGGAAAAATAAATTTATATTTTATTAGGCATATGTTATTTTGAGTTTTTCTGTTGTAGTCAATTAAATCTCATCTTGACTAATGCATTATATGAAATATCTAGAACCCACCTCAGCTCCCTGAGTGAAAGTCATCAGTTCACCAGCCCTGCCCATTCCTGAGAGCTGCCAGTCAGCTCTCCTGTTCTTAAGCAGATTGCACAGCACAAAGTCACCAAACATTTGAAAAAAAAAACTTTCAATGCAAAAAAGAGAGGCCAAAATAGAAACTTTGAAGATGAAGAGATAATTCCAGGAGCAAAAGAAGATATTAAAATAAACTAAATAATACTTAACATTATTTAAAAATAAGGTGCATTTTTATATTCATAAAGCAGTAACAAAAATGCAAATAAGCAAAAAAAAGTAATAAGATACTCAGAAATGGAAGGAACTGTTGGAAATGAAAAATATAATAGCTAAAATTAAAAACTCAATAAGCAAGCTTAAAAGTAAAGTTGGCAGAAAATAGTAAAGGTTGTATTAGAAACAAAAAGGCTCAACTAGGAGGCCCAACAGATGTACACTCCAGAAATTAGAAGAAGAAAATGGATGGAAAGAAATTATAAAATAATTCAAAGAAATTACCCTGAAATGAAGTTTCTATAATGAAAGGGCACTTCCTACCTAAAAATGTTAATACAAAAAGACCCGCAGCAAGAGACATAATCACAAAACCTCAGAATATCTAGGTAAATAGGAAATTTCAAGGGAACACTTCTATATTGCTGGTGGGAATGCAAACTTCTACGTTCTTTTTGGAAAGATGTTTGGAGAACACTTAGAGATCTAAAAATAGACCTGCCATTCAATCCTACAATTCCTCTACTAGGTATATATCCAGAACATCAAAAATCACATTATAATGAAGATATTTGTACCAGAATGTATATTGTAGCCCAATTCATAATTGCTAAGTCATGGAAGAAGCCCAAGTACCCATCAACCCACAAATGGATCAATAAATTGTGGTATATGTACACCATGGACTATTATGCAGCCTTAAAGAAAGATGGAGACTTTACCTCTTTCATGTTTACATGGATGGAGCTAGAACATATTCTTCTTAGCAAAGTATCTCAAGAATGGAAGAAAAAGTATCCAATGTACTCAGTCTTACTATGAAACCAATTTATAGCATTCTTATGAAAGCTATAACCCAATTATAGCCCAAGAGGAAGGGGAGAGGGAGGGGAGGGGAGGGGGGAGGCTGGGTGGAGGGAGAGTAATTGGTGGGACCACAACTATGGTGCTTCTTACAAAGGTATGTGTGAAATTTACTAGGTGTAGAATATAAATGTCTTAACACAATAACTAAGAAAATGCCGTGAAGGCTATGTTAACCAGTTTGATGAAAACATTTCAAATTATATGTAAAACCAGGACATTGTACCCCATGATTGCATTAATGTACACAGCTATGATTTAATTTAAAAAAAAAAAAGTTGAAAGTATGGAAACATGAAAAAAAAATTTTTTAAAAGAAAAATATGAAGAATCAGAATAGAATGCTTCTCAACAGCAGCATTAGGTTCTAAAAAATAACGGAACAGTACCTTGAAAGGTCTATGGGAAATTTATTTTAGCTCGAAATTCTACATGCTATATTCAGCCATAGTCTCAAACAAGTGTAAGGATGGAATAAAGGAAAGGACATTCTTAGTCATGGGAAGATTGAAAATACTTGTTTTCCTTACATTCTTTTTTAGAAAACTCCTAAAAAATACACTTCATCAAAACAAAAGTGCAAGTCAAGAGATGGGTAGGAGTTAAACCCAGGGACCAGGGGTCCAGGGGGCTAAACAGAGACACAACTGGAATTCTCTGGTTGATGAGAGGATGACAGCTTCACAACAGACCCAGACTGCAGAAGGGTAGCAAAGTGTGCCGAGGATGACCTGGCGGGTGGGCGGGGGTCAGGGGACCAAGGCAGAGTAGGGGTAGTGCTCCATTTCCTGTCATGTTTGGTTATTCTGAGAAGAGTGAACGATTCTATTAGAGAATTTGGGAAAGTGTTAGTGAATAAAAATCAACTCAACTATGAACCTCAGAGAAAAAATGGACAAGAAGGGAGCTATAATCATACTATATGGCTTTCTTGCAAACAATATTTTCAAGCTCATAATTGCATTAATACTGTACTGATTAGTGAATTAACTTAAAACCTCACTTTAACCAAATTAGGAAAATTGGAGGATAGGAGTGTTGAATACCTCTTTTTCATAGGAAGATAATAATAACATTTAACTTTGAAAACACAAGAAATAGTAACTAACATGCTAAGTATGAAGAGAAAAAATTATATGGAGTTAAGTATGGGGATAAAAAATATACAAAAATAATTTAAAGCAGTTACCTCTGGGAGCAGGACTTGCAGGACTGGGAAGTTGGGCAGAGATGCTGGTTTTCATTATAAGCAAGATAGCTCCACTTGACTTTTTTCTTTTAGAGTTAGAAAAACACAAAAGACTAATGTGAGGAAGCCGCCTGCACTCACACTGGTTTACCAACACGTTATCATACAGATCTTCATCGTGTCTGCCCGCTCCACGCCAGCCTTCTTTCCCCAAGGCCAACTAGACTTTTTAAACTATCTACGTAAATTGTAACAGTAATCTGAAATAGAATGTATAAGCAGGATGAGTATTCAATGAAAAGCGACCATCTTTCTTCTTAGGATTTATAATCTATTTTTCAGCTATGTCCCAGCAATTTTGGTCAGGATACAGACAAAGAAAGAGATTTGGAGAGGTCTCTGAGTTAACATCAGGAAGAAAAGTAAAAACATTTTAACAATTAGTGGAAGAAAAATAGGACAGTGGAGGGGAGGACATTGTTAAAACCAATGCACAGCGGTGTTAACTCTTTCTAATAAAGGAGCCCAAGTAAAGAAGAAAAAGTGCATAGAAATCAATCCAAAGAGCTCTCGCCACTTGTCACCTTCACTGTTAACTGGCCATGTTGACTGTGGCCTTTAAAGTCCTTCACAGGCTGTGCTCTCTAAGAGTTCTCCGTCTGCCCTATATGCTGGACAAAGACCCTCCATCCCATCAACCCTGGCTGTGGCCTGACTTTCCACAGCTCAGTTCTGTGCTACTGGTGCTTCCGGCGGCCTCTTTTCCAATCACATGCCTCTCCCTTCCTCTGTGTGATCCCCACCGTTCTTCAAGCCCCAGCACAGGCCATGTGCTGTGTGAAGCCTCTGGGCCACACTCATCGGCCACCTGCCCTTTGGCCCTTCCAGTCTTTCTCATCTGCCCTGTGCATTTGGCCACTTTGCCTCCATTTTGCCCCATGGTAATTTCTGTACACGTCCAAATCCTCCAAGCAGACTGCATGCACAGGGACGGGCAGAGAGTGGGTGCTCAATACATGTTTGGTTTTTACCCGAGTTGATTATTCTGAGTCCATGTTACCATGCTACCAAGATGTTTGGGGCTCGCCTTCAAGAGAAAATTATTTTATAAACTCTCAGGAATTTATGGCTAGAAAAACATCCAACTTTGCAAGGAGAAATGTAACTGGGAGGCTCACTTCATAGGACATTCAATTTAATAACAAGCAATAACTGTGTTTACTAAACAATTTCAGACCGTGATTGCAAAATCGAGTTGATATAAAAAAAAAGCAAACGATGACACACTCCATGGCAAGTGTCCCTTCCTGTTACCAATTAAGTGATGGCACGAGCCCATTCATGCCACGTCTTCACTGTTATTTTCTAAATTCTGTGCAAAAAGAAACAGGTTTCACTGCGGAGAAAGAAGCATGAAGAGCCTTCCACTTCTCATTTTCTTCTTTATAAGATCTTCGGCATTTCCTGCGGACCAAGGGATGGAGAATGAAGAGAACGTGCAGCTGGCGCAGGTACCATCTCAATACGAATGATTAGCAAGTGCTTGCATCACTAGCAAGGTTCTGTCATGATTCCCCGGGACCTAAAAAGACAGTTAATGCCTGTTCTAGAAAACTGAACATCAGGAAACCAGGTGAGGGGTGGAGGGCTGGGGCAAGGTGAGCTGCTACAACTCTGAGCAGTGGTCACCAGGGAAGGGACATTTAGTGAAAGGAAAAAGGGGCCATCCCTGCAAGGCCCCGAGATCTTTATAAAACCACGGCAAGACAACCCAGGGGACTCAATTTATAAATTGGAGCCCCTAGGCCCTGTACATAAAAAATACATTGCTCTGGAGAGTCCCTCCAAAACCTAGTCAGTTGATTTGTCATCTTTGTTTAAATCAAATGAATTTGCAAAATGGATAGTTACCTATCTCTTCCAGAATGAAAGTAACAGCAAATTTCCTTTTCTTCTGTGGAGGTCTGGAATTGTGTGACCTGTGTGGTTTGGCTAATTCTGATCTCTCATAATTCAACCAGTTCTCAGAAATTTCAGGGAGTGGGGCGACCTGTTTCTTCCCTCTCTGAGTCCTTCCTTTACTCTCTTCCCCCTCACTTCTCTTTCCCTCATTACTTATTTCCTTCTGTTCCTTTCTATGGCCAAAAGAGTTTCTGGAAATTCTGTTTTGTCCTGAGCTGGAGATCTGCTCTCCCGCAGTCTGCCTTTCTTGTCTTTTTGGTCAGGCATATCTCAACCAGTTCTACTCTCTTGAAATAGAGGGGAGTCATCTTGTTCAGAGCAGGAACCGGAGCCTCATAGAGGGCAAACTTCGGGAAATGCAAGCATTTTTTGGATTGACAGTTTCTGGCAAACTGGACTCAAACACTCTTGAGATCATGAAGACGCCCCGGTGTGGACTGCCTGATGTGGGTCAGTACGGCTACACTCTCCCCGGCTGGACGAAACACAACCTCACATACAGGTAATGCTTCCTTCAACTTACTTTGGCCTAATCCAAAGGAACATTGCTATACTCTCCAAAGAACAATAACAATTATTTACTTTACTGAGCCCTTTCCTGCATGGGGGGCACTTCATAGATTTATTCCTCCTCCCAAACGACCTGTGATGTAGGCAGGACTGTTACTGCCCCTTAAACACAGAGAAGCTGAAACAAAGCTCATTCACCGTGGCCAGGGTTACACACTCCTGCCAGAGGCCGGCTCCAGCAGGCAGGCTCCAATCTCTGTCTCTGTTACCTTTCTATATAAGCTGAGGACAAGAAACTGCCATCTGATGGCACAGATGACCTGTGCTTAAGAGAAAACAGGGCAGAGCCTGGAGCATGGCCAGTTCGTGTCCAAGACATGTGAGCGGCCAATCTCAGATGGGCGGGCCCCGAGTGAGGGATGGAGGTTCCTGCAAACATGCCAAGGAGACAGCTGGCTCATTGGCAGAAAGAGGGTGAAGGATGCCCTTAATCTGAGACAGAGCCAATGACATTGATAACTACGCTGGAGCCTTTGTGAAAGTTCTTCCTCCATCTTCTTATGTCCTAGGACTTGAGATAAAAATGAGTTTAACAAGATAGGGAACATAAATAAGAGAAAAACCTTTTCCCAAGTAACTCTTTCTAGCTCTTGAGTAAGCCTCTGAATGGTAATACATGGCTGAGACTGATGTACACAGCTATGATTTAATAAAAAAATAAATAAATAAGTAAATCTCAGTTGTAATACTCGTCATGGTTGACTTCTACAATTGTGAGAGATACAACCTAAAATATATGAGATAACAAATGTTATCAGTATTTATCAAGTATTACCATTTTAATTCAGGTTTTTTCCTTTCTTAAAATGTGCACACATTTTTGGGCACCCTCTGTAAATTTGTAATATATTTATATATTAGAAAATACATATAGAAGATGAATGCTGTCTCACATAAGGTGTGTGATCTTCGAGAATTCAGTTTCCCTCTTTAAGCCTCCTTTGTTAAAGTGGTATACTACTCCCTAATTCATAGGGAAGATGAAAAGATCAATAATATAGCACATGCACAAGTTCTTCATTTAAATAAAATTTTATGCAAATGTAGGGTGACTGAAGTTACTGTAGCCCATGACTGATCAGCTAGACACGACGTGTGTGGTCTGTGGGTACATACATGCATGTAAACCAGCAATTGACATATTTTTATTAATTTTTAAGACTAATGAATTATACTCCAGATATGACACGAGCGGATGTGGATGAGGCTATCCAAAAAGCTTTTAAAGTGTGGAGCAAAGTTACTCCACTGATATTCACCAGGATTTCCAAGGGGGCTGCAGACATCATGATTGCCTTTAGGACTCGAGGTAAGGTTTTCAGTAGGGAGAAAAGTGTGGCTATTTTTACCTCAGGTGATTTAAGGAAGTTGATCTCTTTTTCCTCCCACGAATGATATGTCAGTCCACGGTTGGTGTCCTCGTCATTTTGATGGCCCCTTGGGAGTTCTCGGCCATGCCTTTCCTCCTGGCCTGGGTCTGGGAGGTGACACTCACTTTGATGAGGATGAAAACTGGACCAAGGATGCAGATGGTGAGTCTAATTTTTTTTATGAACAAAATTTTATTATTCTAAAGAATCCCCCAAAAGAATAGCTTTCTAACTAGTTGCTTTTTACCTCTAAGCTTCCCAACTTCCCCATAATTTTCCATATTCCATGATGGAAGCATTCAATATCAGACACAATACCCTCAAAAAGTTGCCAATCCTCTTATGATCAGAGCACTCTTCATTTATTCATCTACGATGCATGGGGGTCCACTATGTGCACACAAGGTATTGTGTGGACCCCAAAACTCTACTAGAAAAGCTTCAGCCCTTCAGAGGTTCATGATCCCGTGTGATACCTAAGGCTTAAGACCACACACCTACCATACAAAGCAGAAGGTTCTCTGTGTTGTATCAGTAGGAGAAGTCATCTCTTGCTTGAGGACTAAAAGAAAACTCTAGAGAAATGGTAATTTGGGGTTAGCAATTAAAGGCTAGCGTGTGCATTTGTGGTCCCCGGAGGGTCTACATAAAAGCACGAACTTGCTCTTCTAACTCTTGTCCATCTAGGAAAGAATTACAACCTAATTCTTATATTTGACTTATTTCTTCAAACCAAGTACATCAATTTTATTTTTTTCACGGGCCTGCTTGGCATTAGAAGCATTTTAATGCCTTTCCAACAACAGCAATGAGACTTGGCTGCAGTAACGGTGTGTGCACTGAGCAGAGGGGCAGGCTCAGTGGGTGCTCAGATTCTCCCCATTCCTTTTTTTCTGCCACTGGCATCAGCCTTCTTGGGGCTGGTGTCCCGGGAAAGCACAGCTTACAGTCTCCTGATGGCTGTCAGAAAGCCTGCAGTCCATTCCTGCCAAGGAACTTCTAACAGTCTGTTTGGATCAGTTTTACCGTTTCGGTAAAACTGAAAGTCTGTGACAAAAGTGGTCCCTGGCTGCCCACTCACTGCTCAGTCTGAACATGTGATGTGACTGTTCTCCCAAGTGCTAGAGAGAGGGGCAAAGAAGTCAGTCCTAGCTGAACTTGAGTCAGCATCACGTGCAGACACGAGAATGAAGGAGGTAAGATAACACTGTCATGCAAACAGCCCAGAAGTGTCTACTGCTGACACAGCCCCCCTATTTCCTTGATCTTGGTCTGAAGGCGGGGTGCATATATCCAATCAGGATGTATCAGATATTGGCACTTGCCAAAATCAGGATTACTCCCTTTGCTCAGCCAGGCTTTACTTTTGTATCTGGAGGAAAGATGAGTCAAAGATTTCACTATCCTTTTCTCCCTTCAGCCCAATGCTTAGTAGGAATTACTCTCACTCATACCACTCCAACCCTTCTGCCAACAGGGCTGTGTGGAGTTTATTATTTTTTCTGAAATTCAAATGGTTCTGGGCCCCAAACTGGCAAGGCTTGCTTGAGCAAGGCAGGAGATAAACCCAGCCCTCAACCAAGTTCTGGCTGGGCAACCAGGTGGCACCATTCCAAAAAAAAAAAAAAAACGGTCTTCCAACCCTTGTTACCTTCCCTCAGGGGAGGGTTAGTGGGCCTCTGGTGAAACCACATCATGTAACTCTTGTTTCACTGAAATTAAAGGAAAAAGTCCTGTTTTCTTATAAAAACATAAACTCTCGATCAAGTGTAATCATCAATTAAATTGTGATTTTTAATGGAAAATTTTCCAAAACTAGATAGCACTTTTTCCGTCGCAATGTATAGGCCGGCTCCTGTGAGAAGGAAGCACCAAAGTCTGCGTGTCATTTGCTTCAAAGCAAAACACTACAGTTATCTGCCGATCCCATTGCTTCCTAAGGGAAGAAAAAGTTGCCACATGGTGATGTCAGAGGGGGTTAAGCATATACAGTAAAAAACCAATTCCATGTGCCTGATAAGACTTCTGGAAAGGTCACTATGGTCATGTGTAAAAGACACATCTAACCTTCTCCTCTGAATAAACCCCCGGACATCCGGCAGTCATCACTAAGCACCTACGACTGCCAAACGGTTTAGAGTCACCAAGAATAACAGATGATTAAGACATGGTCCCTGTACTCAAAGGGTGTGCAGCTTGGTGATAAAAACAGATAATTTGGTCCCATATGTGCTATGACAGAATCAAGCCTTCAGTCTGTGGAAGCTGAGAGGGGGGCATTCAATTCAGCCTGGATGCAAGCTGGGGGGATAAAGGAAGCCCCATGAAGGAGATAACTCCAGACAGCAGGCCTAGGGAATCCAGGACTGCTAAGAAAAGGAGCTGGAGAGAATATTCTGGGCCCAGGGCGGGAGGTACGAGACAGAACAAGAAGATCAGAAAGGACATGCCCAGATGAGAAATGTAAGCGATTCGACATGGCTTGACGGGACGAGGCAATGAAGCAGACGGCTGGTGAGAAGCAGGGACCACTAGGGCACATGGGGTCTTTTTAAGGCTTTATCCTACAGCCAACTGAGAACCTCTGAATTTATTAGTAAGTACAGCAGGATCACAGAAAGTGTAGTCTAGTGACAGCCCCATACTGATGGCATCTAATTTTTTTTTAGTACTACCCATTTCTGAGACACTGATTTCAAGCCATTTGTTTACTCTGGGTTATATTTCGCCGTGGTATGACCAATGCCAGTGACAATCATGCACTGTATGGCAATGTTTCAGTCGAGAGCAGATCAGGTGTGTGACAGTGGTTCCCTAAGATTACGGTGGCACTGTGATGTCATAGCGCGATGCATTGTGCACGTGTTTGGGTGATGCTGGAATAAACGAACCTGCCGCCCTGCCAGTCATGGAAAGGTGTAGCACAGACAATTACACAGGGCACATGAGGCTTCATCAGGAAGGACTGCGCTCCTGCTCTGGGTATTCACTGGACTCTGCTTTTTATCCTTATTTTAGAGTGTAGTCTTTTCACAGTTGTAAAACAGCCTCAGGCAGGTGTGTCAGGAGGCATTCTAGAAGAAGGCCTTGTGAACACAGATGACAGTTGCACACCTGTTAGGCCCTTGAAGACCCTCAAGGGGGACGAGTGTGGAGATGGAACACAGTGACACTGATGACCCTGACCCTGTGTAGCCTAATGTCTGTGTTTGTGCCTGAGTTGTCTTTTTTTTTAAGTTCAAAATGTAAAAAGAAATTAAAAATTTTTTAAATAGAAAAATGTTAACAGGATAAGAATATAAAGAAGACAATTTTTACAGCAATTTAGTATGTTTTTAAACTGTTATCACAAAAGTCAAAAGTTGAAAATACTTAAGTTTATAAAGTAAAAAAGTTATAGTAAGCTAAAGTTGATTTTATATTGAAGAAAAAAATTTTTTCTGTGAGTTCAGTGTAGCCTAAGTGTACGGAATTTCTAAAACCTACAGCCATGGACAGGCGTGTCCTGGCTTCCCCCTCACTCCCCACTCCTCACTGACTCACCCGAGCAACGCCCAGTCCTGCAGGCTCTGCTCACGCTCAGTGCCCTGTGCAGGTGTGTCATTTTTTATCTTTTATTCCTTATTTTTATTATACTATTTCTACATTGAGATACATAAATACTTAACATTGTGTCACAGTTGCCTGCAGTAATTCAGCTCAGTAGCTTGCTGTACAGATTTGCAGCCTAGGAGGATTGGCGGCCACACAGCGGTGTGTGTAGTCGACGGTGCCATCTAGGTTTGTGCAAGTACATTTTAAGATGTTTATGCCCTTAATGCATTTATCAGAATGTCTTCTCAATCATTCAGTGATGCACAACTACGTGTATTAATTAGTATTGAAATATTCCCCAGATAAATGACGACGCATTGATTATAAGAATTATCTGTGGTGAGGCCTTTTCTTCGTTCCCTCGGTCACTTTCTGATCGCAGATGCCGGCGTTCTCCTTTTGATCAACTCATGTACTCAGACTTTTCCTGTTTTTATTAAGGATTCAGCTTGTTTCTTGTGGCTGCTCATGAATTTGGTCATGCACTGGGGCTCTCTCACTCCAACGATCAAACAGCCTTGATGTTTCCAAATTATATCTCACTGGATCCTAATAAATACCCACTTTCTCAGGATGATATTGATGGAATCCAGTCCATCTACGGTGAGCCAAGTTACAAATCTGAATGTATGTGGACTAAACGGGAAGCTTTTCAGAAGGGAAGTTGAGAAAATTACTTCTTGAAAAATTGTCATGAGCAAATACTCACTTAGGTAAGATGCTTGTGTGGGCGTGTTTCCTCACGCCTTCTGAATTCACTGTGCTATCTCCTTCTTACTAAAGGAGGACTGCCTGAGGCACCTGCCAAACCGAAGGAGCCCCCCGTGCCTCATGCCTGTGACCCCGACTTGACTTTTGATGCTGTCACCACTTTCCGCAGAGAAGTAATGTTCTTTAAAGGCAGGTAAACCCATCCCCTAAACACCTCAGCATCCCATGAAGAGGTTTCTTTTCAAGAGATGGAGAGTACAGAAGGGATGGAGACTACAGTGAAATGTGTGGCTTTTACATTGTATAAGAAGGTGAAGGACAGTCTACTTTCCTAGCCAAAATAATACACCAGTCCCAGGGCTGCACTGGGACCAAAGGCCACCTGCCATCAGGAGCCTATCGTTAAATTTTCAGAAATGTTGCAGACCAGTTCAGCTTGAAACTGGCTGTGGTATTTACACCCTGGAAATCAGCAAATGATTAAAGTCTTTTTCCCACCTGGAAATTATTAGGCATGTATCAACTCACCACTGACCATTTTTTAATGTTGCATCAGTGAAGTGCTTGCTACGGTGGAAAGTTGCTTCTCTCACAATTCAAAACCTGTTGGACTAAGATTGCAGCGTGGTGTGTCACTTATTTATGCCATGACCGTGTAGAGTGTGAGAACACACACCACTGGGTAAGGCTATAGGAGTCAGAGGGACACTGAAATCCCGCTCTTGCCACCCACAGCTGCCCAGCGGAATACTGACCTGCTGTCACTACCAGGCTGTGACCAGCAGGAGCTGAGAACCCGCCCTTTACGGTATTGGGGAGGGAGGGAGGGAGCACTCATGGGCAAGAAAACCGAGCGTGAGCCCTTCGGATTCTCGCTCATAAACTCAGAATTTTACAACCAGAAAGGAAATTCTGAGGAAATATTTTGGCACGGCAGTGATAACATTTCTTTATTCCAGCAAGCATCAGCTTCTGAAAGTTCCTTTTGTCGTTGGCTTAGAATGTTGGGTGTTGTCATTTTAGCAAAAAGAAAAAGAGCTCATTGAGCGCTCAGAGCCATTTATGATATTTCCATGGTAGTTCTCCCCTCTGAGAAGCCAGGACCGTGGGCAGAGACACAGGATCTTGTTAGTCCAAAAAGCAGAACTAAACTTACCATCACATAAATTTGCTCTTTAAATTATTGGAGGGAGATACAAACCAATCGGATTAAAGTCAGGCCTAAGGTCGCAATATTTCCACTGACATAAGCAGATAGTCTGCAGATGTAAAGAGTTTTCTGTTGACCACAGGCACCTATGGCGGATCTATTACGATATCACCGATGTTGAATTTGAATTAATAGCTTCCTTCTGGCCATCTCTGCCCGCTGATCTTCAAGCTGCATATGAGAACCCCAAAGACAAGATTCTGGTTTTTAAAGGTAACCTTGCCCGTTGCAATTCCTCTTCTGGTTGCCTGAACTGGCCAGTGCATGCGTGTGTCATAACAAAAGTCGTAAGATACACAAAAATTGAGAAACATGAAATCTGCAGAATGTAAACAACTGAAGCCCTCCCCGCAACACCAAGAAACTGATGGATAAATCAGGGACAAGGACACTGCCGACTGTGTTTCTTGGAAGTGAAACAAGGGACCACAACACAGTCTGTCTCAAAACTTTCGTATTGACCTACTTATCCTGGCATAAGGAATACCATGTACTTAGTGCCAAGTGGACAGGGATTCTGCCCTCATTTTAGGTTCCCATCATAAAGAATAACGACCTAGGAGTTGTCTGTGGCTATGAAGATAAACACAATCCTAATTGCATAGAAACTAAAAAAAAAAAAAGCCATGTAATAAAAAATAAAAATGCCTGTTTTTCCTGCCAAATAAAAGTAATCAATTTCTCTTTTATGTTCCCTTTTTATTAGAGCTGCCAGTTTGGGTAAATAAAAATGCAGGCTGCTATGAATTTCTGACAAAAAACAAATAACTTTCTGGTACCCTTATGCCTCCTGCAATATTTTATATTTATTTATACCAAAAGTTGATCATTATTTACTTGAAATTCTAATTTAACTGGCATCTTTTATTTAATCTAGCAACCCTAATTTTTACATGGATTTCATCAGATCACCAGCCTTTGAGAGCTTTTGGGAGCTGAAATTTAGGCGAACATGTACAAACAAACTTTGTTTTTAACAATTTTAATTGACACATAATAATCATACATACTTACTGGGTACCGTGTGGTGCTTTGATACACATATGCATTGCACATTTGATTGCTTTGATAAAGTTAGACAATTAAGAGCAATCCATACAATGAAACCAATTGACAAAAGTATGCATACAATTGACTACAAGCACATATTAACAATATTTGCATAATATTAATAGCATAAGCTGCTAAAGAACTTGCTAAGAATAAGTGAAGGCATAAGGTTACTAAGTCTCCAAGCACGGAAGCTAAGTGGAACTAAGGATCTCATTATTTTCAAACTTTGTCCCTCCAGGAAATAGATCAGAAGATAATTACTTCCTCTCTTTCTAGACGAAAACTTCTGGATGATCAGAGGATACGCTGTCTTGCCAGATTATCCCAAATCCATTCACACACTTGGCTTTCCAAGACGTGTGAAGAAAATAGATGCAGCTGTCTGTAACAAAAACACAAGAAAGACCTATTTCTTTGTGGGAATTTGGTGCTGGAGGTAAGTTCACAGACAATTGACCCCTTTGTTTTATTATAGGGAAAATATTCACAGTAGCATCACTTTGACACAGGCAAAAAAAAAAAAAAAGTATCTGTAGTCTTTTTAAGATGAATTACATTAAAAGCAATCTCTAGTGGATGACTTTACCAAACCAAAGGATGTTTCAATGAGTCCAGTGATTTTTCTCTAACTTACAAAATACAGATAAGATAAAATAATAAAGCTGCTAATGCCAACCAAATTGCCAATGACACAAACGCATCCACTCAAAATTTCTGAAAGCGCCAAGCCGAGCCGGGAATGTGACTTAGCAGCTCCTCAGAATAGCATCAAACAAATGATGTTGACTTTGCCCCTGGTCATTTCTTATTTGCAAGATACTGTAATGATTCAACCAAATACAATCTTCCCCAAATTTTTATTACTGATTCCGTTAGTTTTCCTCTGCTAGGCCTGTTTATCCCCTGATTTTATTCTAAATCAGGCAGTAGACTAATTAGGCTCCACAAATCCTTATCTACAGATACGATGAGACGACAGAAACCATGGAGAAAGGGTTCCCCCAGAGGGTGATCAAACACTTCCCGGGACTCGGGCTCCGGGTTGACGCTGCTTTCCAGTACAAAGGTGAGCACAGATGCTTAAACTATCCAGGCACGTGGGGGTCCACATTGGCTGTAAAAGAAGACAGCACAAAGCCTGAAATATTTTGATTTTAATGTAATTTTACTACTCCTAAGTATATGAAATGATAAACATTAACCCTGCAGGCATTATCATAAACTGAATTTAAAAATCCTGAATTGTACTCTGTTACACCATTTCAAACCTATACTTGTACAAAGTACCAAATTAGTTTTGCTCATCATTCATGTGAAATATCCCCCAAAGGCACCCTGAGCGTGTGAAAAATGACTAAGCCCACAGACTGGACGGTGATCCTCCCACTTTAATGTGCGCAGTTTAATGCATACAGCTTGGAGTTTGTGTGTGGAACAAATTTCAGAGTACCTAAGGCAGTAGGATTGTGGGTGAGACCTGGGAGTTTTGAGTTTTAAAAGCATCTCAGGGAGTCTAACGCACACAGCCCAGCTACTGTGTCATCAAAGACAATCACCCAGACCACAGAGTAATCAGAAGTCGAAAATTCTTTCTGGGTAATACAGTCCATTTTTTCAATGAAATATAACACAGAACCCCCAAATCTAAAGTAGGTAAAAATAGAACAGATCTAAAAAAATGAAGATATAGGGGTGGGACCTTCTCCTCCTGGTCTCTGACGCACTTTGTTGAAACCTGGTTTGAGACTCAGCTGTAGACGGCAGTCTGGCTATAAAGATAATAAGCACCTTGAAACTCATACTTTATAACTTGGCTTCCTCCTCGTGGAAATACAAATAATTAGATTTCCTGCATAACAGTAAACAACTCAAACCGTATCTCTATAATCCCACAAGTTTCTTTGTTCTCCATAATGTCATTTTGTTCTATATTCATAAAATTTAAAAATACGGAACCATTATGTAGTTATGCAAAATAACTAATCACGGTTCTCTGTCTTTAGGATTCTTCTATTTCTCCCGTGGATCAAAGCAATTTGAATATGATGTTAAGGCAAAGAACATTACCCGAATAATGAGTACCAGCACTTGGTTTCGATGTAAAGAACCACTGGACTCGTCGTTTGATTTTGGCGCCAAGGAACAAGGACATTCGGCAGGAGTAGATATATTGTATCATAAGAGTCAAAGGTTGTTTATTTTCAGTATTGTTCATCTGCTGAAAAATATTTATAGTTATCAATAAACTCATAGACCTGAAATAAACTTTGAGAGGTCTTTTAATCTAAACTCTAATCAAAGTAGAAGGGAACTATTTTTGAACATCCGATTGCCAGCCCTAGTTCTGAATATTATAGGGGACAAATTCAACAGCCATTTTCAACTGCCTATTTATTTTAACAGGAAGTTATTACATATGAACAAAATCTTTGACTGAAATCATGCTTTGTGAACTCAGAGAAGCAAGACAAGTCTTACAACTGAGACCCAAAACACATTTACTAAATAAACCTATCGCATCCTATTTGATCTGAACCTTTGGAGTTTAATAGTCTCAATAAACTGCATTCCTCATTCCTATGCATTTTCTGAACTCACCTCCCAAAGGGAAGAGTGATAGCCTGAGAAGATGCAGGGTGTGTTACCTTAGAGGCGATCCCCTATAACTAAGGAACTAGCAGAAGTAGGAGAGAAGCATTCCCCCTATCCTTCCAAACACTGACCAATGCATTTAACCATTCCTTAGAGAGTATAAAATCAAGTGTGGGGCACGTTGATCTCACATACAAGAAACACAAGGATTTCTTCTCTGCGTTTGAGATATATGGGCATCACCTGAGCCTGTGCTTGGAAACTTTCTGTCCTCTTTGTTCTGCCATGTATTTGTTGAGTTTCTAAATTCTTGTGGTTAGGCTTTCTCTTTATACTCTTATATTTGCTTAGCAAAGCTCTTTCTATATTTTTTTCTTGAGACAGAGTCTCAAGCTGTCACCCTTGGTAGAGCACCATGGCATCACAGCTCATAACAACCTCAAACCCTTGGGCTTAAGCAATTCTCTTGCCTCAGCCTCCCAAGTAGCTGTGTACAGGCGTCCACAACAATGCCTGACTGTTAGTAAATTTTCTGATCCAGAAAATGGGAGATTGTCAGTTGAAATTGATTCTGATGAGTTGCTGTATTAAGCATGTGCCAACTGATATAAGATAAGCATAGAAAAATCTCACAAATTCTTTCAGCTGCCTCCCATTTTCCATTGAGTTCAATTTTCCCAAATCCAAGGGAGTATATCAGAGAGCTATTGCATGCTCTAGACATAAAGTAATTCAAGAACTACAGCTTAATATTTAGCATGTAGCAGATCGTAGTTTTTCCAAAAAATCATACAGGCATAATCAAATGCATATCATAAAAATAAGCCTCAATTTTTACCTCATACCACATACTGTTCACAAAAATTAATGAAAAATGAGCCATATGGCTGAGCACAGTGCCTCACACCTGTAATCCCAGCACTTGGGAGGCCAAGGCAGGTGGATTGTCCGAGCTCACAAGTTCCAGATCAGCCTGAACAAGAGTGAGACCCCTGTCGATTGCCTGAGCTCACAAGTTCCAGACCAGCCTGAGCAAGAGTGAGACCCCTTTCTCTAAAATATAGCTGGGCCTTGTGGTGGACCTCTGTAATCCCAGCTACCTGGGAGACTGAGGCAAGAGGATTGCTGAACCCAAGAGTTTGAAGTGAGCTACGACACTACAGCACTCTGCCATGGGTGAGTGAAACTCTGACTCAAAAAAATAAAAAAAGAAAGAAAGAAAAATGAGCCATAGTATTCTGAATAAAAGAATTAAAATTATAAAACTCTTAGAAGAAAATATTTAAAAAATGTTTGCAACCTTAGATTATGCAAAGACTTTTTAGGTAGAACATACAAATCATTCATCATAAAAAATTAATGAATTAAATTTCATTAACATTCAAACTTCGGCTTTCAAAAAAAAACATGAAAAGAATGAAGAGTCAAATGGGGAAGAATATTTTCAAAACATATCCAATAAAGAACTTGTTCTTGAATTCATAAAGAATTTTTATAATTCAAAAATAAGAAGACAAACAGCTCAATTTTTAAATAGTCAAAATATTTGCTATATGAATGGCAAATAAGTATATGACAAGACACTCAACATCATTGACCACTAGGAAAATTCTGAACCACAATGAAAGCCCACTATGTATTCACTAAAACGGTTAAACTTCAAAAGACTGAAAACACCAAATGTTGGCAAGAATGTGGAGTAACTGGAGCTCTGTCAGAGTGCTGATGAGAATGAGAAATAATACAGCAACTTTGGAAAACAGCTTGGCAATTTATTATGAAGTTAATCATACACTTACCTGTGACCCAATGCTCCCATTCCTAAATATGTACCCGAGACAAATAAAAACATGTCCACAAAAGTATTTTTACGCAGCCAGGCTTAGTGGCTCATGCCTGTAATCCCAGCAACTCAGGAGGCTGAGGCACGACAATAACTTTGACACAGGAGTTTGAGCCTGAGCAACATAGTGGGACCTCCATCTCTAAAAAGATAAGATACCTCATTTTCTCCATCTGTGCAATGAGAATTGTAAGAAACCCAGGCATATATATATTTGCACGTAAATGCTCTCAATAGTTTTGTGATAGCTAAAATCTCAAATACTTACCAAGTGGAGAATGGACAAAGTGCAGTGTATCCATACAATGAATACTACTCAGCAATAAAAAGGAACAAAAGCTGATACATTCCACAATACAGACGGATCCCATAGCAATATGGTAAGTGAAAGAAACTGGATACCAAAGACTATATGTCAATGACTCTATTTATATGAAAAATTAGGGAAGGTCAAACTTTAATAACAGAAAGTCGATCCCTGGCAATGGGAGCGAAGGGAGGCTTTGACTACAAAGCGACAGGAGTGAACTTTCTGGGGTGATGAAAATGTTCTATATCATGATTATTGTAGGAGGAACTCCACCATGGGTGTTTTTAAGTCTATACTCATAAAATTAGTGAATTTTATTATATGGTAATTCTATTTTTTGAGACAGAGTCTCACTTTGTTGTCCCAGTACAGTACCATGGAATCATAGTTGACAGCAACCTCAAACTCCTGGGCTGGAGTGATCCATTTGCCTCAGCCTCCCAGCCAGCTGGGACTACAGGCACCTGCCACAACACCCAGCTATTTTTGGAGATGGGATCTCACTCTTGCTCAGGCTGGTCTCAAACCTGTGAGCTCAGGCAATCCATCGGCCTCGGCCTCCTAGAGTGCTAGGATTATAGGCATGAGCCACCATGCTAGGTCTATGTGGTAATTCTACCTTAATAAAGTAGAGTTTAAAAAGGAGAGTGACTTAGTACTTGACATTTAGTAGATTCTCAAGTGTTGGGCAAGCTTCTTGTACCTAGTCCCTGTTCTGTGGCATAAATGCTGTGATTTTATAGTTTGGAAAGCATATAAAATTACACTCACTAGAAGGCTGAGGTGGGTGGATCTCCTGAGCTCAGGAGTTTGAGATCAGCCTGAGCCAGAGCAAGACTCCATATCTAAATATAATTGAGCATTTTGGAGGGAGCCTATAGTCCCAACTGCTCGGGAGGCTGAGGCAATGGGATTACTTGAGCCCGAGAGTTTGAGGTTGCTGTGAGCTATGATGACATGGCATTCTACCAAGGGCAACAAAGTGAGACGCTGTCTCAAAAAAAATAATAAAAATAAAATAACACTCAGATTTGCTTATGGGCATTTACTTTCTCCTTGATTTAAAAATAAAAATTGGGGTCTGTAGGAACGGACAAGATGAAACTATAAAAATAACCCTATTTTAAATTTAGTGGAAAATCTAAAAACACAGTGTTTCAACGCATATATGTTGACTATTAGAACTATATTAACAATTTATAACTCAAAGGTCAGGCGCTATCACTCATCTTTTGAAATTTAAATAAACTTGGCTTCCAATATCATCTGAGATTTTCAATTGGTGGGGAAAAAAATATACGTAATATTTGTGAGCAAAGCCACCTTCGAAATCATCTCCCTAGTGACCAGCACACAGATTCCAGCCTCCTGCCCTTCTGCCTGATGCCCTCCATTCTCTGACCTCAATGAGAAACCCAAGTTCCTGTTTATTTTTCTTTTTAATGTAAAGCAGTTATGCTATGGCTTTATTTTACTGTCTCTTTTTTAATTAAGTCATATACACATAGATCATGAATACATTTATGCATATGTGGGGTGCAAGGTGTTGATTTTTTTATGCAATCTGACGTGGTTACATCAAACCAGTCACCATAGCTTTGGCCTCATTTACTTGATTATTGTGTTAAGACATTTATGTTCTACACTTGACAGGTTTGACTTGTGCCTTTGCAATATGCTCCATAGGTGTGGTCCTGCCTTTTACCCTCCCTCTGTCAACCCTCTCCCTCCCCTCCCTTCCCACTCCATTTCTCTCCTTCATCCTGGGCTATAGTTGTGTTCTATCTTTCATAAGAAAGTGTGAGTAAATATAAGTTGGTTTCATAAAAGTACTGAGTACATTGGATACTTTTCCTCCATTCTTTTTTTTTTAAGGATATTATAAACAAATTTAATGACCAAATGATAGCCTGGTCAAAAACATGCATCACCAAGGGCTGATCCCTGTACTAGGAAAGAACTCTCGCAAGCACCTAAGACTTGACAAACAGTTCTTTTTTTTTTAAGAGACAGAGTCTCATTTTGTCACCCTCAGCAGAGTGCTGTTGCACCACAGCTCACAGCAACCTCTAGCTCTTGGGCTTAGGTAATTCTCTTGCCTCAGCCTCCCAAGTAGCTGGGACTACAGGCGTCTGCCATTTTCCTCCATTCTTAAGATACTTTACTCAGGAGACTATATTCCAGGTCCCTCTATGTAAGCACAAAAGGCTCCTAACATGTCATCAGGATCCCCATTCCTTGGAAAATCAGCTTGTCTAGGTCTGTTTCCTCCTACAAAAGAATACCAAAATAAAATATTTTTAATTCCATTTGCTATCTTGGACACAGGGTAAGAATATGAGTTCTGAAGCCAGACTGCTTAAGCTTGGGGATCAGTTCCTCTTCTTATTAGCTGTGCAATCTTAGGCAAGCTATTTAACCTCTCTATGCCTCAATGTCCTCATTTGTGAAATGGGAACAGTAAGAAATCCAGGCTCATAGAGTTGTTTCAAGGTTGAACAACTGGTCACACCCAACACAGAGAATCCGTATTTGGTGTAGTAAGTGCTCAGTAACTGTGTAAGTCATCCTTGGTCTAA